CATATGTGCCCCAATGTCATGCAAGAAACCATTTTGAAAAAGCTTGGCACACCCTGAACGACCTCCCTTGTTAGATCAGTTTTGGAGCATTTCAGGCATACCAATGCTGTGCTGTAATGACTCTAAAACTTTTCAGGACGCCACAACCCCGATAACACGGAAGTGTGGCGCAGCACTCGTCACTCTACCCATTGTCAACTTGCCAGATTTCAGCGAACAATATCACCCTCCTGTACGGATTAAATAATCCACTGAACTCTGATGAATCCTGCTGAACTGCTGAACCCCGAACAGGAAGCTAATTTTATTCAATTTTTCGGAGGGTGTGGCTCACACACTAACGGAAAATATGGGTGACCTTGAATACTTTCGAGGACCCTTAGCAGGGACACTTACAAGGGACGTCGTTCAAAGTGTGGAGCGCTTCTTAAAAACGGTTAACTGCATGCTGTAGGGGCTCTCACGGAGACCAACTGAGCTTCATTTCGCTCAGTGGCTCCCCGAAGGCCAAAAATGGTAAAGAATTGGTCCAAGAAACAATCCCTCCTGAAGACAAATTTTTGCACTTTAGGTTGGAGCTTCGAAATTCGCTCGAAGGACGAATTAATGCTGAAAAAGCAATCCATTTCAAATGAAGTTTGAAATGGTCATGAAGAAAAAACTGAGGAAAAGGCCCGGGACCCCTTCCTTGCCCGTTGATTTGCGCATTGATGCGACTCTCATCTTTGTGCCCTCACTACGCTCTCTCTGCTATCTAATCACTCGCCACGTATAGACCTGCGGCGAGTGATTAGATAGTCGGTGGGCGTACCCGCCAACCGCGCCAAGAGTGAGCCATGCTAGATCGCCGAGGTCAAATCTTTCGCTGCCAATTGCGCGTCGGTCAGCACCCTCAGGAGGTCCGCCTGTCCCAACTAGGCATTTCCCCCTTCTTCGACTTCGTTCTTATCGTGAATTCGTCCTTCAAAATAGCGCCAGCACCATTATCAGGTCGTGTGTTCATCATCGAGACCATCAGTAGGTCTTCCACTCAAATTTTTGCCAGAATCTTTTGCCAGAGGGCGCCAAATGGCACCGAAGTGGCATAAATTGGAGCTATCGGGAGAAATTGGTGTCACATTCGTAACCAGGGCAGCCGATGTACATTAAATTAGAAATCTCAGAGAAAATTTGGATTTTGACCTGGATCCAAAAAACTGATATGTCAGTGTAGCCCATAGGAACATATGATACCTCCAGCCGGTGAACTTAAAACTTCTTATCCTCCTCAAGTACTGAGAATTTCCACTACTGAGTGTAGTGGTAACGGACAATAGGACTGATGGTGTTGAAGTCGGCAGACTCGCAAGGATGTATCTTGTTAGCTGGAACTTTCAAGGACTACGACATGATGGAAGTTCCATATGAAACCGAACGTTGGGTCCGAACATACAACAACGAACAGGACATGTCGCCTGATTGCCACGCTGCGCTCCTCTTCAAGTAGCCCGCCGGCATACTCGAACCTGTAGCCCATGGTCACCCTTTTTTTAAGTTTGGTCAAAATCCACTTTTCCCTGAAATTCAGCCTACTGGGGTTTCTCAAGGTCCTGATCGCGGATATGCGTTTATTTCAATTCGACGCTGCGGATTTATTTCGCCAGGTTTCGGTAGAAAACCCATTTGCAGGGGCTCCTGATTGGTTGTGATTGTTAACATAGCGTTGACTAATTTTGACGCTGAAGCGATTTGGCGCCAATTTGGAGGTGAGAGCCAAAAATGCAAAAGCTTGTGCGAAAGCGGAGTCGAATCCCAGAGTCCGTGCTGCGGTGCCAACCCGAGTCCATCACGCTATCTAGTTGACCCCCCACCAGGGTCAACCCTATCGTTGTTACTATTCGA